AGGAATGCTCAGTTGCATAAGATATCGGGAGTTCTATTCTCATTAGCTAAATAGCGATAATTCTTACTAATTCAAAAATCACAAGGTAATTATCGATATACGCGACAATAAGTATCGTTAATTATTTATGTAAGCGAAGGTGTGAAAATTGAATATTGCAGATACCGATATCGTTTAAGAATATTAAAGTTTTGTTAACGCAAATTTTTAAACTTGACAGATTATTGATTTGTCGATAATCGATATTTCTAATCATTATATATATATTGGTTCTCACAAATATTCACGGGTATTTTACTTTTTACTGTTAATTATATGTATAAGATATTGAAAGTAACATAAAAGATTGGGTGTATGTGGCAATAAAAATTTAATTACAATTGCAGTTATAGAACAGACTGCAGTAATTTTGAGTAATAACAGGAATGTTTTATTTTTTTTAATATATAAAAATTTATCACAATTTATTTATCACAAGAATAAAAATATAATATTTGTAACTGCACTTGTAATTATTATTTCAATTTAATATGCATTAAATACCACTGTATGCATAAAACCACTGTAGATGAAACTATGCAGTATACATATATTATTGATTACAAAATTGTATTCCTAAAGAAGTTAGGGAAAATATCTATAAATATGTGAATAGCCCGCATAAAAAATGGACGGTGAATATGCAGGCATAGAAAACAAATGCACGTGGGACTCGTCCATAAACTATGTACACAGCTGCGAAAACTTATGTGTAAATACAATATTACACACGTCCCTATATACGTTGTGCACACGTGGATATGTTATACCTGAATTGTCCATCCACATCCGCTTAAAAATTTTATTCCGACTTCCTTTTTCGTTCACGCGAGCGACAATGTAACCCATCGTTTTGTTGTCATGTACATATATTATTGTCATCATCGTCAAATATCACACTTAAAAATCGCATTTAATCTTATATACAGTTGTATAAAATAGTGAGATATTTTTAACTCAAAATACATTACGTATACATTACAAATATATATTTGTTGTATAAAGATATGTAAAAAAATTCTATACAATTCCTAATAACAATTATATTTTGAATATATATTATGTACATCAAATTATATTATATAATAAAATCTTAATTTTAAATCTAATCATATACAAGTAGACAATCCAACATTGAAAATTACAAAAAAAATTGTACAATTGTATACAATCTTTTTCTCTTGTTTTATTAAAACAGATAGAAAAGATTTTCATAATGTTATATGTAATCTGTAAAATTTTCAATATTTTTGTTCCATAGTAAAATAATGTAATATATATAGTAAAATAATTTTTATTTACTACGGTAAGTAAAAATTACATTTTTACGTTTTTCTTACATTATTTTTATATGAAAAAAATAAAAAATTACAACTTACATATAATATAATGAAAATTATTAACTGCCTGTATCTGAATAAAACAATTGTAAAGAATTGTGATCATCTATAACTGCATTTTTTTGTTATTTTTAATGTTAAATTAAATTTTGTATGTAATTAAAGTTAAAATTAAATTCTATTAAAGTAAATATTATTTTATATTAATCCTAAAAAAATTGTAATATCTATTTTTTCCAGAAAGCCTAATTTTCCCATTTTCCGCCTAATTTAAGCAATAGTTAATCGATAGTTCTCGTATATATAGTTTTAAAAGAATATCAGGTTTTTGTTTGTATTTGTTGGATACAATATTATACGGCAAGTCTTATACATCGATGAGAGTAATATTATCGTTACTTTTTTGCGCAAATTTATGCAGACTCATGAGCCAATATAATATGTAAGGAAGGAACATGCAAAGACTCACGTATAGGTAGTAGGGAATAGGACGGGTAGATCCGAAAGGACAGAACCACAAACCTCTTCTGGTCCCATCTCGAATGTGATGACTCATGAAGGAAGCCAGTATCATCCAGGAAGTGTGTTCCAATATAGGAGAATGGAAAATCTTGGATAGGGAAATGAAAAGTATCCACAGAATAATAGGAACCGTGGTACAGTGCAAGAACGGCCGCTTCTGCAAATGTGTGGCGTCCTGAAAAAAAATAAGATAAAATTAAGAATAGAAGTAGAAAAAATATAGAAATAGAGAGCTGTGCAGAAAAGAGTTACTTATTTATGTAAATAAAAAGCCATATAATAATATAAATATGTAGTAATGATTAGCAACAAATAATATGAAATAATTTAATTAAGATAATTCCATAAATTTTTATAATTTACTTTTTTCTTTTTTTTTTTTTTTTTTTTTTTTTTTTTTTTTATAAGAAAGGAGAATGATGTAAGATTGACGATGGCCATTTTTCGATTGCCTTACAAAATATATTTTCATCTTTTTTTTTGTTTTGCACTATATTTTTCTCTCAAGCTTTATTGGCATATATCTGTTCAATCGGCCGAGATATCCCTTCGGTTAAACGGAAAATTATTTGTTACATTTATATATCGTTTCTAAATAAAAAAATCATACTTGTTTTATTTTTTTAATGATTTCAATGATTTTTAATGATTATTTAATGTTTCTGATTTCATCTGCGCACACAGTTTCAATAATATAATTAGGAAGAGGAAGAATACTTATATATATGTAATATACATGTAACTTTTAATATTAACAGAAATAAAAAAGAATAATTGATATATATTCAGGATTAAGTCCGTAAATAAATACTAGTAACATAATTTAATATTGTACGTTTATACTTGTGGGCAATATTTATTTTCAGAGATTAAATTTGTCAATAATTTTTTAAACCGTTTAATAATGCTTGAACCTATAGTCGCACGGAGTTCATTTGACAAAACTATCACATGTTTGTAATATTAATGCAATATTTATTTTCTGTGCATGATATGATAATCACCCAATAGTTTTCTTGATATTTCAGATACTACACGCTTAATTGCTATCAATATTTATTCTGTGTAATCTTATTAATACGTTTACTACAATACCTGCAGCTGCGATCGCGCGGATTTAACTTGACGGAATTGTCGTCTTATCGGAATTTTTCCACTACCGACGCGATATATTTATATCCGTGTGTAATACGATAATCGCCCGATACTTTTTACCATTCCCGATAGTTTTCACTCCGCGAAATACTACGCGTTTACTTGCAGGCGATATATTTATTCTCGGTTAACCAAAATCGTAACTCAGATGTGACGAGACAAATGATTTTTACGATCGTAATATCGAACCATGATATAATTATGACTAATAGCGATCGCAGCATTAATCACAATGATCCATTGACTATTATTTTAACATTTACGATGCTCGATCGCGATTATATTTGCATCACAAGCGTCCCGACCCCGACGCCATAAATAACCGCGCGAACTGTAAACTGAACGGGCGGGAAGACCGTTCCGATTCCGAATTCGGATTTGGTTAGGACCGGTCCGATTCCAAAGTTTCGTGATTCTACTAGCCAAATATGGCTATCATGACGTCATCGAGCATTAGTTTCTATTACGTGCGACACGCATGTATGATAAATTGAATATAAACATGAGATATTAAAGCATATATTATATATATCAAATATAGAAAAAACATAAAATAATTTTTATCACTAGCTATTAACAAGCCTATTAAAATGCTCATTAAATAATTGATTTGTCACTCTTAATTGATAGTATTATAAATTGAGCAATACATTCTTGTATAACACGAGAATCATGAAAAGTTCAGATTAATCCTCGCGATAGTCGGGGCGATAAATACTATAATTGTAAGCGAGAAATAATTTCTACGAAAACCGATACAAGATAAGTACGCAGTGTCAAAAAAAAAATAGGGCTGTCTCTTATCATAAACCTCGGCTCAGAGCGAGATTCTGATTTTTGTATCTATTACTCACATGAATGTGCCAACTGCGCGCCGCAATAAAATGATCCAGGTCGATGAAGGACGCCAGTAAGAAGCAGGAGAATATACTGCTGAGATTGCGAACGAGTGGCTTATGTGACAGAACAACGATCAACGTCCACGTGAGACCGCCCACCGTCGCATGCGTCATGTTGTCAAACACCGCGCGCTCCGACTCGTTCTTGCCGTACCTGAGTCCGTAATCGCCGAGAATCGAGCAACCGCCGATTGCGCACGTCAGAAGGGCGCGTGACCAAAGCTCGCGCCACATTGCGCACGTATCTCTTTACAATCACGATCGGTAATTAATTAATGATCACGTTCGATTGTAATATCGAGCTACGCGGACACGGCTTCGGGGCTTCAACAATTGTAAACTGAAGTGTAACTAGCGTAACTAGCGACAACAATTCGCCATGATAACGTTCTGCGCGCGCAAGGAATGTATGCGTACGTGAGCTCCGTAAAGGTTCCTTTACATGGCAGCGTCAAGCGTCGCGGGCTTAAGCCTTAAGAATTGACTAATCACAATCGAGTATTCTCTTCATACTTGACTATGATTGGTCAATTCTTAAGGCTTAGGGCTTTTACGACTGCATTGTAGACCCCGCATTAAAGCGGCGTCTACAATAGAGATTTTAAGCCTTAAGAAATTGACCAATCACAATCAAGTATAAGGAGAATACTCGACTGTGATTAGTCAATTTCTTAAGGCTTAGGGTTTAAATCACCTATTGTAGACCGGCACTTA